CCAAGGCCGCGAGAAAACACAGGCCCGGCCGCATGTTTTATGTAAGGGAGCGTAGATAAGTGCATGCGTTATTGTGATGCGCGGCAGGTGTAACACAAGCTCCTGGCTATCGTAACCAACACTCAAGGCAATATTGATATCCTTCCTCTCCTCTCCTCTCCTCTCCTCCTCCTCCTCCTCTCCTCTATCTTCACCTGTCTCCTTGGCCGGTTAAATGGCCGACTCGCTTTTATACGGAAAGCGACTCGAACTGGCATCCCCGTCGCCTTGATTGCCGGCAACGGGCCGATTTTTGCACGTCGCACTTTGTATAACGGTTCGCAGGAACGAGCGGCCAATTGCCATTTCCCAACCGCTTGCAATTATCCCTCCCTCAGTAGGAGAGTACTCCGTCGTTTCCGGCCCAGTTGCTTGAAAACGCGCGGCCGTAACGAGTCTTTTAACCGGATTAATCTCGACGCCGATGGCCCATCCGTCTGTCAGTCTGCTCGCGAGCGCCGCTCATCATCGCGCCTGCAAAAAGGCCTCGCGGTCTGACCCACAGGAGCCGGCCTGGCCTGGCTCCCTCCCGGCGGCGCGTCCTTCCAGCGAGCGCGGCGCTGGCACGGCCATTCCCTCTCCGTCAATCGCGCCCCCGCCGCTGTCGCTTCCTTATCGCGCCCATCGGGACATTAGTGACGAACCATCAGGGCGTCCCGGGCTGTCACTCGGTTATGTTCGGGTATAGGCACAAGACAGGCGCTGTTGGTACGGAGAGGAAGAAAGGGGAAAAAGAGGGGGAGAGAGAGAGAGAGAGAGAGAGAGAGAGAGAGAGAGAGAGAGAGAGAAGAGAGAAGAGAGAGAGAGAGAGAGAGAGAGAGAGAGAGAGAGAGAGAGAGGAGCGGGGGGGGTGGATAGAGGAGAGGGAAGGGGAGGGAGAGCGTAAGAATGAAAGAAAGAAAAAGAAAGGGAAGAGTAACAGGAAATTGGAGAAAGAGGGTAAGAGGAAAAGAAGGAGAGAGGGGCAGGTAGAGCGAGGAGAGGGGGAAGGGGAGGGAGGGCGTAAGAAAGAAAAGAAAAGAAAGAAAGAAAGGGAGATGGAGAGAGAGAAAAAAGGGAAAGTGTGAAAGAAGGAAAGGAAGAGAGGGAGGAGAAGAGAAGGGGAAGGGAAAGGGGAGGGCATGAGAAAGAAAGAGAAAGAAAGAAAGAAAGACATACACACACAAAGAGAGAGAGAGAGAGAGAGAGAGAGAAAATGAATCAGGAACACGTCCAGAGCGGATATATCGTGTAGAGTAAATAGAACAAAATAAACCAGAGCACATGCACCGATGTCCAAGGTGAGGGGAGGGGAAAGGGAGGAGGGAAAGGAGGAGGGAAATGAGAGGGGGGGGGGGAAAGGGGAGGGGAGGGGAGAGGGGAAAGGGGAGGGGAGGAGGGAAAGGGGAGGAGGGGGGAACAGGGAAAGGGGAGGGAGGGAGGGGGAGGGAGGGAGAGGGGGGGCGGATAACAAGGGCGCCGGCCAAAAGAAGAGGAAGATCCGCAGCGAGCCCGGGGGTCGCGCCTACATTATGCTTCTGGTGCGTTTACAAAAGGAATACAAAAACGGAATCGCAGGAGCCACACGTCACCAGCTACATAAAGATAGAATGTCGTCGTCGTCGTCGCCGCCCCCTTTCCCCCTCCCCCCCCTTCCCCCTTCCCCCCAGCTGGTAAGTAACCAATACATGGGCGGTGTCCGGGGGCGCGCGGGGCGGGCGGGGGATGTCACAACAACACGGGAGGGACGGACGCCACACGGGCTGCTAAAAGAGGCTTCGGACCAACAATGGAGCTAAAGTCCAGGGGGAGGGAGTGGCAGGGGGAGGGGCTGGGTGGGGTGGGGGAGTGGCAGGGGGAGGGGCTATGGGATGTGGCAGTGAAAGGGGCAGGGGAAGTGGTAGGGGGAGGGGGCAGGAGGGGAGGACCGTTTTGAATACCTGAGATTGATAACAGAAAGCAGCTAAGAAAAGAAAACTGTAAATAAATGCAATGAAGATTGGTAAGGAAATGGAAACCGGAAAAAGAACAATGCACGGACACAGAGAAAATAATACATTTGTTTGAGAAAATGAGGAAGCATGGAGGCAGAGAGAGAGAGAGAGAGAGAGAGAGAGAGAGAGAGAGAGAGAGAGAGAGAGAGAGAGAGAGAGAGAGAGAGAGAGAGAGAGAGAGAGAGAGAGAGAGAGAGAGAGAGAGAGAAAGACAGACTCGAAGCCGCGCAAACACGAAGTCAAACAGCAGGGCCGAACGGAGGCGAGGACCACAGTGGTCCTGGATGGCGGCCGAAGAGCTAAGTAAGCAGGGACGAAGACCGAAAGGGAAGGCAGGGCGCGGGGCCGGTGATTGGAGGGCAAAGGCAGGGTGGACGGAGGTGAGGGCAGCGAGGTAGGGCGGAGGGGAGGGGAGGGAAGGTGGGCAGGGTGCGGGCGGAGGGCGGAGGGCAGAGGGCAGAGGAGAGGGAAGGGGAGGGAGGGAGGAGGGGGTGGGCATGAGTACAGTGGCACAAGCCAGACAAGCTATCAGCTCATACAATAACCACTTGAGCAGTGCACGAGCTCTACCAGGATACTGTCAGCACGCTTTGCTCTGCTTCTCCCTGCTGTACCCTGCTGCCCATCCAACAGCCTCCCCCCGCGCTCCGCTGTCCTCTCCAACAGCCCCGACATCACCTCCCACTCTCCCTCACTGACCAGCCCTCCACAACGCCACTGCTACGCTTGTAAACATCGCCACGCTCTGCTGCCCTCACTTGTCCTTCTCCCTGAAATCACCGCGCCTTGCTGTCTTTCCCCCTTCCATTATCGCCGCCTTCTGCCTTTCCATTTATGGCACCCTGCTTTCCTCCCCGAAACTATCGCATCGTACTATAACTGCTATTACTACTACTACTACTACTACTACTACTACAATCATATCTATCATGACCCGACGAACAGCAAATACGCATGCTAACTGTCGCTGTCTCTGCGCAGTCATCAGAAAGGCATATCATTGTTGCAATCGCTGTAACTTTAAAAAAAGCCGCTAGCCTAGCACTGACTCAACAACGGTGCCACAACCTACTAGTTTATTTTGCAGTCATCTCTCGACGATTTTCCTCCTAAAGCAATTTTTTTTATATTTCCCTCGTCTCCATCGGGCCTCGATCCCCTTCCTCCCTCGCCCAAGCTTCCATCCTTTCTATCCTACGACTCGCCACCAAAATGACCTCCATCCTTGTAGCAGCGAGGGCAACTTTTTGCGGTCGATTCCCGCCGTAAAAACAAATACGAGTCATCGACACTTCAACTGTGGGCATAATTCTCTTTGCTTGTCAACTCGCGCCCGTAACTCTTCCTACCTGTCAACTCCAACTCACAACTCCTACCCTCCTGTTACCTCGTGTTCACAATTCATGCTCGACTCACAACCACAACTCTCCAAACCTGTCAAACCGTTTAAGTATCTTACCTAAACGTGATCTCTCAACCACATCTCTCTCTCTCTCTCTCCAGTCAACTTTTACCCATAGCAATACCTTCAGTCACATCACAACCCTTCCCTTCAGTCAACTCACAGACCATAAACTTAAAACTATATCTCAAAAATAACCTGACAAGTTGCATTTATAACTACCTGTCACCTCGCAATCGCAACTATTTCTTCCCGTTAACTCGCCACTGCAAACAATGACAAACTCGCGCCCACGGCTCTTCCTAACTGCAGAAACACCCAAACAAATCTCCCCGCTTGTCATCTTACAATCAGCTCTTTCTGACCAGTTAAATCAACTCCCCTCAAAACTCCCTCGGTCTTGTCATCTCTCGTCCACTACCAGTCAAGCCACAGTCTTCACAACCCGTCAATTTACATTCACAACTTCCTCAACCCGCCCCGTAAAAACGACAACGTTCTCGTACTCGCATCTTTCCACGTCGGTTTCCAAAACTTTTCTCACCTGTCGCCCTAACCACACAAGCTTACCTGTGATCACTACCACGGGCTTGCCGCCATCATCCTTGCTTGTCATGGCAATCTATCATTATTTCCCTGTCAGGCACATCGGCCCATCCCCTGTCCACCTACAATCTTTATGACCCAACTTTTTGACCCAATGCAATAACTTTCTCATACATACATGAGCGTAGCCTCTCTCTCTCTCTCTCCCTCTCGATCTCGCTCACGTTGCCACGCACAATAATAAATAAAAGGACTTCCTCTTTCGTTCGAATATAAACACACAAGCACGCACACAAACATGAACACAAACGCACACATCCCCTGAGTTGCATAAAAACACACAAACGTATCGGGGGCAGGGGTGGGGTCGCGCTGGGTCACCGCCACACTGCACCTACCATAACCAGCTGCACCGAGCGCCTGATGCACCACACTCCGGCGCTGCGCCACACATCACACACAAACAATACTCCATCTTTGGGGCATTACATGACGAATTCATCGCCGTACACAAGCACAAAGTGCATGGCCTCGTGAGTGCCATGGGCCGGCAACGGCTTGCCTTTCATGCTCCTGACAAACGCATGTGACAGGCAGGCAGGCTGGCAAGCAGGCAGGCAGGAAGGAAGAAAGAAAGAGCATCTTCCTCCTGTCCATCTTCACGTGGGTACGTGTTATGTGCGGTTCAGGGCCGACCTTGCCGTAGACCCCGAGTGTGTAGTGTCTGTGAAAACTATTACCCACACTGGGTAGGCCGGGCCTTGCCCCTAAACTTCACCGCGGCCACGATGTCTAGGGGGAACGTCGCCACTTCCTTCCTCAACTCACTGATATTTTTTCACTTTTATCACACACTATATTTGCACTGACACGTTTTAGGTAGTAAAACTTGATGGGCTTTTTCAAGGCAAACACAATGGATTTCCAATGTCACACACTTCTCTCTCTCTCTGGAGAAGTTTAAATCATCGCTATGAAATATCTTAGTGATTATTTTCGTGGGACAGAATCAGACTCGGAATATTCCAGAGTATTCCTACGTGTTCGCCGTTGACTTCCTGAGAAAGATATGGCTTTATCCCAGGTGCAGGAGCGGGTGGTGAGGTGAGCGAGGGTGTGCGGGTGGGGGTCGGTGCACCTCAGACAACATCCACTACAACTGAGCGCAGCGGCGGTCCCGGGGGTGGCACCCAGACGGGGTCAACTCGTCCCGTCACATCTCCACCCCCGTCATATAACCACCCCCCAACAACCACTATTTTTCAGGTACGATCTTTTCTTCTAATGTTTCCTTTGGTGAAACGATATTTCATCTTGTCATTTCGCTTACGCTGAGGTACATCCATAGGCTCTACGCGATCGTTAAAGCAGAAATACGTAAGAAAAGAAGACGGACATTAATAAAATAAACTGACAAGACCTACGACTACCAAAGACATTTAATTAGGCAAATACCCCGTCAGGAGGGAACCTTAATAATTTGTTAAAAAAGGAACACGCCATATGTGAGAGCGGTGATAAGGGGGTAAAGATATGTTGTCTGCCGAGGAGTGTCCTGACAACTGGCTTTTATCAATGGCCCTCATACACTTCAACATTGTCCCCACATTTTTGGGTCGCCGTGTGGCCCGATGCTGCCGCCTTGATACAGCGGCAGCGCCGAGGGAAACTTTGCTCTGATAACATTTGCATATATAGTCGATGGAAGGAGCGACACCTGAGTAACGCTAGACATACAGTATCAACGGCAAAGGTCACCGGCGTTTCTCGGGGTGTTTTGTCATTTCTCGCAAGAACGAGTCGGAAGTACGAGCTCTTACGAAGGTCTCGCATAGACTCGTCTGCCAGACAAGACACTCAAGCACAGTGACGCGCCGATTGCCAGCGTTCCGTTCGTTTCCACGTCCTCCTGCTCGCCAGCGGGCCTCGCACGACACCCGGCCCTCAAGCTACGACACACAAACACCTCACCTTTATCACGCCTTACATTCAAGCCCGGGGTTAAAATACATTTACCCTCGCTCTTCTTGCACGGCACTGCCAGAACGCATTACACCGCCCCCCCCCCCTAGCCCAGCGCAGGTTAAAACGCGCTCCCTACTAGAACGTAATTAAAAAAACGGATGCAACCTTGCTCTGTGGAAACACTTCCTCCGCGAGACGATACTGTAAATTTTACAGACCCCCCCCCCCATCCCTTTTCAAAGTTATGCTGCGACACACATTATAGGTTTCACCATATCTCATACCGTCTGAGCTTTTCCACCTGCCCCTGCTCGCAGTCCAGCCTCCCTGCCCTACTTTATAGCACGTGCGCTGGAGTCCCTCTCTTACATATCACATTAAGCACTGCAAGTAACCTCTGTCTCTGGAAGCGCCCACCCCAGAAGTGATTTTTGTGCACAATCTTTCTTGCCATTCTCTCTCTCCTACACTTAGCCCGGTAAAACTACGATTAAAATTCGCGCCAGTCCTTCCCTGCTCCACTGAAGCTTCCTGCTATGCCTCTTCCAGCTTTTATACAAGTCAATTAAGCTGTGCGCTGAGGCCCATTCGCCCTTCCCAAAGAAATCTTACGAGTCGCCTCGGACACCCTAAATATCACTAAGTTTGCTTCTCTTCCACTTGTTATTGCTGCCAAGCTCTATTAAATCCCACTTCCAGCTCCACTTACGCTATATTAAAGCTTACCACCAACACCTGCCAGCTTACATAGCCACCACCAACGTGGGACAACTCGACCTAACCAGTACGACTTGAGAAACTTGCTAATTAAGTTGAAAACTTCGTTAATCTCGCAAAGGGGAGCAGAGTCAACAATTTAGCACACTTGTTAGGCCGAAGTAAATAACACATGACGAGCCCCGACATAGGTACCCCTTTCCCCCCTCTACAACCAGTGGTCACATACGGCGAAATGCACAACCAAAAACAAAAAAAAAAAAAAAAAAAAAGAAGAAAAAAAGGCAGATGGGGGGAGGAGGGGGGAATCACAGTTTTCAAGATGGGTTGACTTTGTTTGCCGTCACCGCAACCTGCTGTTATTATGACGGGCAAGCGGAGTCGGGGAGCGAAGAGGGGGCCGTTGTGGCGTGGTTGATACGGCGCCGGTAGCTGGAGGAACGGCCGCTTGGGTACTTTTTATTTCCCATTTTTCGCTCTTTTTAAGCTGGATGTTGGTTTTGTACCTTTGACGTCGGAGGGAGGGGAGGGGAGGGGGGGGGGCATGCAGTAAATGGTGGCCCTAATAGCAATAACGGACAGCTGCCATTTAAGTCTTAAGGGGGAGGGCTTGTATTTTGGCGTCTTCTGTCCGTGGTGCCAATGGCGGGCTGTGGTGTCAGTACTAATTAATAGCCTGTACACACTAACGATGTGTTGTTGGTACCGACGGCGTTGCTGCTTTAACTTTTTTGTGGTGGTGGTAGCGAGGGAAATATTCGCAACATATTTAAATAGCAGAACACGTGCCACATAGCAAATAAAGGAAAACGAGCGAGAGCCAACCGAAGTTACAATAGACAAGGTGACATTTTTTCCTCAAACTGACATGAACATGGAAAAGGTATAAATAAGGATGTATCTATGGAAGTGTGTGAAAATTGGCACCTGTGTTGTTGCCGTCTACGTCTATTCATCTTTAAGCAATTATAGTTTCTTTTAGGGAATGTATTTCACATGTTAGCACAATGAGGAGGGAGAGAGAGAGAGAGAGAGAGAGAGAGAGAGAGAGAGAGAGGAGAGAGAGAGAGAGAGAGAGAGAGAGAGAGAGAGAGAGAGAGAGAGAGAGAGAGAGAGAGAGAGAGAGAGAGAGAGAGAGAGAGAGAGAGAGAGAGCACACGCACACGAAGTGAACCTAACTTCGCAGGCTCCCGCGAGCGTGGAAAAATCGACCACGAATTTTCGTCGCCGTCTCAAGAATGACGAAAATTCCAGGCCGCCGGAGCCTAATCTACACACATCATTAACAACGGACTTTTAGTTTCGTAGCCATGGACATTAATTACTTGTTACCATCGCAACATTAAAGTTTTTTTCGGGCGACTGCACGAGGCAGTGTTTAAATACATGCTATTTCCGCTTCATAAAAAGGATAATCCAGCCCGCCATGCATTACCGCCATGCATTTATCCGACTCTGAATAAATAACCGCCCATTTCTTTTTAATGGTTTAACTTTAATAAATCTTCCTCCTTTGGGCCGCCGAGACCTTTGTTAGCTCTCGAGCGCACACTCCAGCGCCGTCTCGCTGTCACCGCGCCTCTCCCTGCAACGTGCCGCTCAACCCGCCAGGATAAGGAAGTACCAGTCTTGCAGGAGCGTCAACCTTGCACTTGACCTCTCCCACCCCCTCCCACCCACCCCAGAAGTCCCAATTTTCCCCAGACAGGTGTGGCTGGAACGCCGCATACCTGTGCACAACTTTCTACTGCTGAAACAGGCGACGTTCCGGGGTCACGGGCAGCTCTACCGTGTCACTTCCATTCAGACGAGTGCCGCCACTGTGGGCCATGGCACCCGTCAATGCCAGTCGACGGAGGAAAAAAGCAACAGAAGAAATGAGTTGCAGCCGAAGCCGTGACGGCCGGCGCGCCACGAAGAATGGCAGAAGGCGGCGGCGAGTGTAATAGCACGGCATGGGGCCAAGGGTGTTATGCAGCGGCGGGAGGAGGTCACGCACGATACGGGACCGCTCTCAATGGCGCTGGCGGAGGACGGGATGAAACGACACGCAGGGAAGGCCCAGGCGAGTTCACAGTCACTCGCCGACCAGGAAGGTCAATATACGCAGATGACTTTGCAAAATCCTCACGACACTCGCAGGATCCCGCCAACCCAGTGCCTCCCTTCGCGTGTAATATCAGCACTAAAGCCATCTTTCACGCGAGCGCCCCCCCCCCCCCCAAAGCATACACAAAACACCCAAATGAAGCAATAAAGATGGATCCAGCGAACTCCAGGAGCCGCCGGGACAAAAGATACAGAATTATCGAGCGTGCCGAGAAGAGGGTACAAGGTGTACAAACTGGGCCTCCGACCACGCGTTCGCCGATAGAAACAACCCCGACGCTCTTCTCCCTCCTTCGCTCCCCTCTCCCTCGCCGCACGCCCAGGGAAGCCTCCTTTGCCCCTGGCTTTAAAGGAAGAGGGAGATACAAGTTTATGCAGCGCCGCGTTCCGAGGGGAAATATATATAACCGTGATCCACCTGCTAGCATGAATTTTTAAGGGGGCTTCTGGAAACATAACAAGCACCGTCACTTAATTTCAACCAAGATATGAATGGATAGAGGCGTGGGGGAGCGGAGCGGGCGCCGCGTGTGGCCTATGCAAATGCGACGCGAGGCGCTGAAAAGGAAGAGCTCGGGCGGAGGAGGCCTTAGGACGTCCCTCGACTAGGCGATGTCAGTGCACTTTACATACATGCATACATACCGCTAAAAGGCGTTGGGGAGGGAAGGGGAGGAGGAGGAGGAGAACGAAGGGGAGAACGAGGCAAAGGCGAGGGAAGGGTCGAGAACGGAGCAGAGAGAGAGAGAGAGAGAAGCGTGCAGGAAAGAGGAAATAAGTAAACAAGCGAATGTCGTTGTGATTGCAAGGTACGCCCCTCCCCTCCCCTCCCCCCCGTCCGAGGACAAGTGGCGGAGGATAAACAAAGTTTCCAACAAGGAGGAGGAAAGTAATTGTGCGCGGTGAGCAGGTCCCAGCGCGGGCCCGGCCTGGTTAGTGAGGCACGTCATTACTGCTTCCCGGCCCCTCTAGAGCCAACAATTTCATTTTCATTACTCTTCACGCACTTGTCTCCTTAAGCTTGCCACATGAATAATTAATGAATCAAAAGGCTTCTACGTGTATTCCACTTATGTGCGACGCGGCTTGATATCGGAGATGACGGACTGGCGGATGGCATGGCACGAAGACGACCTCCTTCCACCCGTGTCTGTTCCCTTCGACCACTTTTTTCCCCTTCCCTTCTTTTTTCTTTTCTCTCTCTTCTCGCACATCTTCTCCCACCCGACTTCTTTCCTCTTCCACTGCCGGGTCTCTCGCCTTCCGCCTTGCCTTTTCTATACCCATTTGACACGAGACGATGCCGTGACAGGAGCAGATCCAACACCGCCCTTTCCCTGCCCCTTGGATTCGTCATGACACAAGACATGA